TACTTTAAAACTGTATATGTCCTTTGTAACATGTGTTTTAAGTGTCTTTGATGGTGTTCCTTTAAATTCATGTACTATGTTAGGTAGGTACTTAAAAGGAATTAATTCTTATAATTAGGTTTTCGATCGGCATCAAAAATTTGGTTCCCAGATAATGTAAATAACTTTTAAAAATCTTTATATTCAGTATTACTTATTTACAAAAAATAAAGCAGTGTCTCCAAATGTCTCCTTGAAGCTAAATAGCCTGTCTACAATATTTAAAGTAAATGTAAATCCCACGCCGTGAGACGCTCGGTATATGTTTATTCATTTGTACTATCCATCTATGGGATATGTCCATCTGTACATACCACTGTGGGATCAGCGGGACGCGTACGAGTTTAAAAATATTATTTCATCAAATCATCGATTTTTGGACTTGTCAACTTATGTCTCAGGGTGACGGACGCAGTGGCAGTGCCCCTCAGATCTTAGTGATTTAAAGCTCTGAGTGGCACTGCAATTGTTATGGACAGGCGTGTAGCTTACCATCAGGCTTACGACTTGTACGTTCCGTTACTTGATATTAATTATTTTTTTTTGATATTTATTATTACATAAAAAAACTTTTACGCTTATCATTTCTTAACTTACATATGATATAAATAAAAAATAATCATAATTGAACAATAAAGTCATTTCATTAGATTCTGAAATTATTTCAAATTACATTTTTGCCTCTGTAATAACAGTGCAGAAATACCTAAAAGGCAGAAAAACATATTTATAATAGTGGTTTTAGTCCCATGTTACAAGTACATGGTGCCTTACATTTCTAAACGAATTACATGAAACGTGAAGCAGGAAATATTTATTATATTAGGCGCCTTTAGTGTTTTTCATACTCTATCTCGTATGTATACTATAAAAGACCTTTTTTTGTGATAAAAATCTTTTTCGCTAGATACTTACTCTTTTTGTTACAAAATTTTCTCCATTCCCTTAGAGGATGTAGATAGGACCGATAAGAGTCTTTCATTAATTTATGTCAGCAATTTTTCTTAGGAGTGAATCCGTTCTTTATCAACATGTTTTTATCCAGTAATTCTCACTTCGAGATTGGATAAGTTCTTAAAGATTGATACGTAGTAGGTACGAACCACTACACGGCTAGCTATACCATTACACTTAATATCTAGTTTTACTACGGCCACTAACAACATCGTGTGTTATCTTATACTGGAAATGAATAATAGACGCTGTGACTGTAGGTACTTTTTTTAAGATACCTAGAGACAGGACAAACAAATAGAAGGCCCGTTGTTAAGCGATACGCCTGTCCACAATAGTTGCAGTGCCATTCAGAGCTTTAAATTGCAAAGATCTGAGGGGCACTGCAGCTGTGTCCGTCACTTCGAAACATAAATACATAACTCCCATATGCTAGGAATTTCACCAGCACCCATATTCTTCAAAACTGGTAGCAGTAATGCTGACATTACTGCTCGATGGCAGTATTTACCTGGATGAAATCTTTCACAAGGAGCTCTACTTAATGTTGTCGTTTATATAGGTTTTGAATTATTTATCTGATGAGTATTTAGCAGTACATACTTAATTAGATTTATAAATATACATAACCTACCTGTGTTTTTTAATTTCCTTGTTTTTTTTCTATATGTACTTTTGAGTACATAGCGAAGGTAAACACAATAGATGATGTTTAGTACCAACGACCTTGATACAAATTAATCAATTCGCTGATATTCAATACCTACACTGTCTTTCGCATGTTTTAAAAAACATGACGCTTTTATTCTTATCAAACATTGTTTTCTTCTGAATCATAAGCAAAGATATAGAGTTGTTTTGCAATAATACTTACTGCTATAGGCTATATTTACTAAATGGTGTAATTAATGAAACTCGAATGTATGGTAAACGTTTATTGTTTCCAAGACGATATTTATCATTACATCAAAAATAAAGTATTATCATAAACATTTGGCATAAAATTTGTAAGAGATTCCCATCGAGTAAAACATTTAAAATTTTAAAATTCACTACTCCATCAATATAATTTAAACGCACATTGATATTTCTTAAACATCCAACGTAAATACTGATTAAAAACATTCATGTAACACATAGAATATGCCTATTAATCTCTACGTAGAGTCGACTATGATTAAACTCTACTGGGGAACACAACATCTATTTTGGATCAAATACTGTGATTTTATTGAACATATACAGAGTCGCCGTCGCGAACAAAATCGGAGAGCTGAACTAAACGGAACATCCCCTGTCTCCTCTATACCCTGTATTAAATTTCACAACTATTACAGATATAATCCACATCCATCTTGAAAAATAATACTTATAGTAAGATAAATAGTCATAAAAGAGGGTCAAAAATATAACTCTTCAAAATATCATAAAGACTTATAGATAAAATATTGTTCTACAGCAGAAATGTTTAATAATCAGACTCTTGTGTTTTATCAGGAATGTGCATAGCTTACAGCTAAGGGTACTAGGCTAGAAGTGTTTGACACTAGTCAAGAGCGCTAAGGGGTAGGATGCTAATTTTAACCGCTAACATACAACAGAATACATTTAGCACAACGAACATAGTAATACATTTAGTTAAGATACCGAGCCACATTCGAGTTTGTTCTTGAGCTGACGTGATGAATATTGTGCCGTTAAAACTAATTAAACCGACCTTAAATCTAATAATAAGTACTAATTAGTAGATTTCTAGTCAAATACAACACGAAGAGAATTCAAATGGCAAGTGATAACAGCCTGGTAATCACGAGCGCTGTGCCGATCACACATCATAATTGCAAAAAGAGATCAGGGCACAACTAACCTCTTTTAAAACTAAACTTAATAACAAAAATTAACAAAGAATGGAAGAGCCAAAGTGAACAAATAAAGAAGGGCGGGAATTTTAAAGCTCGCAACTATGGAATTAGATTTCATAATTGCGGAACTTGGAGATGACTTCAGAGGGCGGCTCCTGGTTGCCGCTGAAACGGCCCCAGAGTGCGGCGCCACCTTCGGAAGCGCGGCGGGCCGCAGCGTTAGTCGGTCCGAGGCTGGAAGGCCCAGAGCGACCTCCCTCACCCTCCAGCATGCGGTCCTTAGTGTTGGGCTTGGACCAGTGCATAGATTGCTGGACGTGGTCTTTCATGCCCAGCCACTGTTTGTATCCCATAGCTATGCCGCTATTCCTCCACTTATCATAGAGAGCGCGCTTAGCCGGATCACACAAAGTCTCTTTGGCATCCTGTAATCAAGAATAAAGTACATAAAAAAAATGTACGAAGATTTTAATTTATAATCTTTCATAATAAATTATTTACATACCTATTCGAAGCAGTTCACTGACTACTTCAGTTATTAGGTGAGTTAATGAAATGATTTTTGTAATTATCTAATTACTCGGACCTTATTCGAAGAAAATTGATCAAGACACACAAGACAACAAGTTAATTAATTTTTTTAAGACTTTCGTGGTTATTCACTAAATGATTATCACTAGTATCAGGTTTCTTACCACGGTATGACTTCTTTTTATTTTCCCGATATTTCGGAACGGTTGCACGCTCAACCCGTGAAGCAGTCAACCCGTGACCATGGAGCGTGCAACCGTTCCGAAATATCGGGAAAATAAAAAGAAGTCATACCGTGGTAAGGAACCTGATACTAGTGATAATCATTAAGTTAATTAATGATATTAAATTATATAATTCGATTTTGTTTTACAATGTCCTAAGGTACCTTCAGTTTTTGAAACTTGGCTTGTGCATCCTTATCGCCATCGTTCTTGTCGGGGTGGTACTGCAGAGCGAGTACCTTGTACTCGGCGATGATCTGCTCAGCCTAAAATAAAAAGAAATCATAAACCATGCCATAAAGGTTAAGTAAAAACATCGTGAGAAAAAATGACTAATTTAATTGCATACACGGCCACACTACTTTCCTTTTCCACACCACACTAGTGGAATAGTTTCCAAATTCCAATGATTCAGCTGAGTAGAGTACAAAATTTTCAAAATGGGACTAAAAAACTATCATAACTTCCATACTATTGGTTTTCGCGGAACTAATGTTTCAAATGGATCAGTACCACGTCCTCTGCGTAAAAAAAATTAGAACACTGAATAGATCAACCTGTATAGAAATTGCGTATTTAAAATATTTAGGTGTAGGCGAACAATATTGATAACTTTTGAGTTGTGAGATACCTAATCAAGTCTTACGTTGTTGTTACTTGAAGTGTAAAGTTATGATTTGTTATTATAAATTCGTTTTATTTGTGTATGTTTAATTATTTTCGTAATATTTATCTTATTTTTTTTAGTCATAAGTTAATAGTATTTGGGAGACTAAAGTCGGAAATAAATCCGCAAATGTGCTTTACTCCACATTTTTTAACTGGTAAGGTTACTTAGGAAATGAAACTATTATCTTACTAAATCGCATATATTTCTTTTTTCAAACAAACCAACGTTTCGGGCCCTTTACTGGTCCCATGGTCACGGGTGACTGAGATGGTAAAGTCATCAACCAGTTATGTCTAATATTGTTAAAATAAAATAATTTGTACAATATATGTAGCGCAAATTGGAATATTCCTTTGAAAAAAATTAAAAATAAGGTAATTTAGGAAATGAAACCATTTTTCCGGATTTAAATCGCGTATATTAATTTTTCAAACAGACCAACGTTTAGGGCCCTTTACAGGTCAGATGGTCACAGTTGATTCAATGTGTAACCATCGCGAAAGCCTGAGAACTCAATAAGTTAATTATTTTAATAACTTTTGTAACAATACTGAAAAATTTTGCATTAATATTAGACGTAACTGTCTTGGTCCTGTGACCATGGAACTTGTAAAGGGCCCAAAACGTTGGTTTATTCGAAAAATACAAATCCTATACGCGATTTACATCCGAAAAAATAGTTTCATTTCCTATGTGTAACAATCGCGAAAACCTAAGAACTCGATATGGTAAGATTATTATTCTATATATCTTCACAAAAAATAGATGACATGTGAATTAAAATACCGATTTAGATACAACATATATGTGTTACTTTTTAATAAATTCAAATAGCAATACCACATAAACTCTACATTATAACTTCGTGAAATGTTCGCTCAACTTAACGAGGTTTTGAATGTCACTGTTACTGGCGACGACAACGTGTGTCAATTATGGTAATTAAATGAGGTGCTCAAGCGAGATAGGTGCGCAAAGCTGCAACGTAACGCGAACGTTACCGCCGCAGTCGCGGTAAATAAGTTGACTAGAGGGGATTTCCATAAAAAAACACAATGACGCACATTGATTTCACGAAATTCGTTGCAAAAGACGCAGGTTCAATAGACTTACTATCTATACCTCTGTCTAACAATGTAGGTCAACTCAACTTACACGGCCTCTACTAAAATAAGGTCAACAAGCGACAATCAATACAACTCTAAAATTATAAAAAAAATTACAAAAAAATTATTAATAACTTACGCTGGAATTTTCGTCGCAGCCCAGAAGAGCATAGAAGTCGTCGTCAGGGTGCCTTTGATAATTTATTATCTCGTCCACCCCCGTCATCTTCACGACCCTCCCTTGCGAAACCCCAGCGGATACTGTTTTGCTTGCGTGTGTAATCAGTCACCTGTCTTTGTGTGCCGCTTGTCGTCCTCCACCCATACACAAATTCACACGGACACTTTCTCTTCTATTAAAACGTTAGACATCAGCTCAACACTATATTAACACAACCGCACACTACGGTAATACTCACTGAAGTGATATTCGACTCTGCGCCATCGGCGCACCTTCCTCTCCACAGCTCGCGGCCGGGTCACTTTTATATTACATTGCTCATTGTATAGAGGCTAGATACAGTTATTTGTATTTCAGCACGCATTGTATTGATCCCAATCTTGTCTGTGTGAGTGTTCGAGTTGAGCAATGAGGCAATGAATGAAATTCCCTGCGCAGTGCTGCTAATCAATACGAAAGCGGATTGTGAACTCTTGGATCAACTTAACATTTATAATTTATTCCATACAATGCGCGTTTTGTGAAGCAAACACCAAACCTGTAACTTTAGTTACGCAATGGAAAGTATAATGTGCGCTTTGCGTTAGATGTATTAAGAATCGGATTCTTAGTTTTCGTTTGGAAACCTGTTTTGCTGTTTTAGTTTTACATATAGATGTTTTCGTTCTTGAAACGCAATTCTGAGTCATTTTTTGTTTCTAACTGTTTATTCCATTGTACTAGTTAGTTATTGTCGCCACAAAGTGTTCGTTATTGAATAAGAAAATAAGTTTTGTGTTTAAGAAAGTAAGTTTTGTGTAGATTCAGTAAATTTCAGAACGAAAATAAAACAGATTGCCGCGAGATTCGCTCTGGGCCTTTTGGAGGGAAAAGTGTCGTTTTTATTTTGACTTTCAATTATTTTGTGAAATCTAGTTTAAAGTGGAATAGGATAGTGCTATTGTGCCTTAATCGAAGATTAAAACGCGAAATTATACGAATCTCGAACTAAAATACCCGTATCGGCCCGTTCTAAGGAATCCCGAGTCAATCCAAGCAAGCCGCTTCAAATTGCCTATCCTCTTTGTGGTGGCCATATTTACAGAAATATAATTAAACGTTTATGTTTTCGGCTGAAGGACATTATTTCCATGGCCAGCAATAATTAAAAAAAAAAAGATTGCCGCGAAATAAATCCGCGAAATATAAAATGTTATAGACGACTCTATATTCCGGTTCTGTTTATGTTGATTGGAGAAAAAGTTTATGAGAAGAGTCGCTTATTGCCTTTACATCACACTTATTAGGTAATAAATTTCTATTTAGTATCCCTTATATATATATATCTTGTGGTGTTGCACGAATTTTAGAAAATGTAACGTTACCTTAAAAAAAGTGTATTGATATAAAATTGAACCGTTAACAATTTGGAATTCTTATATTCTATTCCTTACTTACTACACATTTACTACGAAACGTTAGATACGAAGACACTCTCGGAACAAATTTTGACTTAGCTCAGAAACATAGGTATTCTATTATTTTTATTCGATATTCAAAGCATTCTAACAGGTACGTAAATGGGGTGCAATAATGTAAGAGAATTGAGCTCATCCTATGCATAAACGAAGACTGGTGACATTGCATATTCTGTGCATGCTCTCGACATTGGCGTCCCATCGCTTTTGCATCAAAAATAGCTCTAGAAGACGCGCAAACGCAAGTTTACTCAGCTCGCCGCACGCTTCGGCCGCGTTCCGCGCTCCCGAAATTATTATAAGCTCCGTCGAATTGTGTTGCATGGTTTACCAAAATAATCTTGTTGTCATGTACCAGATCCGTATGTCAACGAACTAGGAGCGCGCATCTTCCATCTTTGGCAGCGGAAGTCCCGGCGGATGTCCCGCCAATGGGTGAGTAGCATATGAATGCTTGACAACAATCGGACTCGTTCCCATATTTTCTATTCGCGGCGTGTCTCCAAAAGTTTGTCAACCTCTAATTTTTTGTTACGATCGATTAAATAAACTGCCTACCTAATTTCTATATTACGTGTCTCATTGTTTTACGACGCCTCTGACATGAAATTTATTAGACATTTACTCACTCTGAAAATTGAATCGGGTGTTAAATAACTGATGACTTAATTTATTTACATAAGTTTTTGTTGGTATTAGTACTACTGGTATTAGTACCTGTACGTTAGTTGCATATGACTACAGACGTAATTTATATAACTTCACCCCACAGACCACATTTCTTCCGTGCTTCACCCTTAGGCACACATAAGCACATTCGCCCATAAGCACAACTGAACCGCGTTGTAGGAAAGTTTTTTCCCCATCAATTGGTAATTTATCTAAACCTCACGCGACATCACAGAACGGACATAAGACCGTTTCTATTTATATCTCAGATTTATTTATTCACAAACATTGAATGGACAAAGGCCAAATCGATCGTTAACTTCATGATATAATAATAAATCTGAATTTCAAGAACTTTAAAGATTGTTTTTCCATTCCTTAATGGTTTACGCAATTTATTATTAAGTTGGTAGGTATTATGAATGCCTTAGAAAACAGAGGTACCTAAGTATACATTTCATATTATTCTATATCATTTTGAACTATTTTAAAACAAAGATTATTTACTTATAAGGACATTAGGCCTTGGGTAAGGAATGCCACATCAAAGTGTACGCTATCTGTTTTAAAAAAAGATTGTCCTAGATTCAACTTAAAAAATTGGGTCATTTAGAAATCAGGCAAGCTCATTTCTTGTATGGATATTTTATATTACAATGGAAATAAGCCTTCACAAGCTACTTTATTACATGAGATGATAAATTCAAAACATAATTTACTAGTTCATTATTCTTTACGTAGGTATATTTATGCGTTAATGCCGCTAGTAATAAACGCAACTTTGTTGGTGAGAACTACAGCTACGTGTTTTTAACTCTTGCTTCTGCATACCTACCACGCGAACGGATTCATAGTCAGTTACTAGTATTAGCATAAAAAAGCATGCGTGAGTCAGACTCGCGTACTAATGGTTCCAAACTAGAGTAATTAGTGTCATCATTATAGAAAAATCAATTAAGCTTTTCAAAAACTAAAACAACACTATAAACAAAAACTACCGGGTCAGAACCGGGTTTTAGGGTTTTTTTGAGAATGAAAGCCTGTAAACAATCTATTTGTAAATAACTTTCATTGAACATCTACCTATATCTATAATCTACATGCCATGACTTTATTAAGGTTCTTGACGTTGTATTTGTCACACACAAATAGTATTTTTCGACTTAAACATTTGGCGTCCTGTGCTTTTTAATATTAATATTTTTATGTATAAAATACGTGAATTAACATGTTATATTGTTAAGTCTATAAATTTCTATGGCACATTTGAGTAATTTATAAGCGAGTAATTTTTTATTTTGAGGTTTAACCCTAAATGATTCATTTACTTCATAGAACAAGCGGTCCTAACACAGAGCTCATATGGTCGGTCATAATATAAACGTATTCTGTTGATCTTAAAAATAACTCACTGGTTTGGAACTGTTTTATTAGTGTACGTGGGCAGTCCAAAAAGTTGTTTCTTTGAAATGATTTTACTTTGCGGTAGGGTTTAATTAGCTCATTAAAGGTTTTATGAGTAGGTACTGTCGACTAGTACCCAATGTCTTTATTCGAAACGATTCTTATACATAAATATGTTGGTTATTTGTATTAAGGTGTAAAAAACTACGAGTTAGTTCATGGGCGAAGTCACTCAAAGACCCACTCGTATTCTTTTAGCTTTCTCTATATCACAAAGCCGCTTGTATTTAACATTACATAATTTAAGGAAAACAATTGTCAAACGACACATATACAACGTTGACAAAGCGTTTATATTTGCATGTGTCTTCTTCTTGGTCGTTATCTTTATTGCTGATGGTCAAGTCCCCGAATGGTTTTCGAGACTTTATTGACGGTTTTCTTCCACCTGATTCTGTCTTCTCAGTGAGGGCGGTCACTTGGTCATTCCATCGGCGAGGTGAGACTCTCTTTCCCTCCATCTTACCCACCACAACCAGTTTATCAAGGTTGTGCTCAATTATGGACCGTGGTCCAAGGTATACGGAGCATCCTTCTCCAACACCACTGTGATGATGTGACCTCCTTACACCGTCATCTCACCTTTTTGTATCGCCTCTCTCCGCTTGTATCCTATCATTTTTTTTATTTTACATGTATTTAAATTTTAAATTTGAATTGTTCCATCTTTCTTCACTTTCTCATTTTGTTTTCGTACCACGGTCACTCCCAACTCGACCGCCACAACAGTCGGAGCTGTTTCAAATTCCATCGCGTATAATCGCTAATTCTGGTTCTTTATTACGTTTATAATCATTTCATAAGCTAAATCATGTGTAATAATTTATAACAGTCTACAGACTTCGTGTACCTATATCTGTAATTCAGTTACTCGGCCCATTTAGGGGTAAGTGTCTTAATAACAAAGTGTAGGGAGTGTTTTATACTGTTATACCTGTTTTTTACATTCACCTTTTTGTTACAGCCTTTCTTTAAACTTTACTTCTTTAATAAATTTTGTGGACCGGAAGTTTCCCGTTTCATTGCCATGAACCTGTTCACAGCTAGTTAGGGTTACAACCCTTTCACCACATCTCGAAAACGTCTGAAACGAAATCTATTTTTTCCGTTCTGATTTATATATGTAACTGTTCGTAGATACCTTGTATCCTCATAAATACTTTGTTTTAAAATTATACATAATAAAAATAGATACGTACACTGTCTCCGTCATACCACCAAAACATCAACCAGAGAGCTAGCTGGTTCCACAACTGAACTGGTGGAAATAATAAAAGGCCGAAAGTACCACATGCCCGGGTGAGACTACTTATTCCCATTCTTTGTATTTGTACCTCTAGATCCATAGGGTCCGCATGCCCTTTATTTCTGTAAAACGATATCGGAAAACATTGAGGACTTTGTAGCTAGTGTGCCTAAAGTATAGCAGTATAAAGCATATTGTTAATTTCATATATTTGATGTAGTCTAATGTACGTACTTCAAACGCTTTTAATGTATATTAGCCCTTTAAATGTCTATAAAACAAAACAATAACATGCGAATTGTTGAGTAAACAAACTGTTATCAAAAAGTCAGCGTTCCTGCCGTACAAGAGATAAAGTTTAAAGGAGCAATTAAGAACTTTGAAATGGGTCACATCAATCAAGAAATTAATTACCTACTGGGATAGGCTTTTGTATTCACGAGGGACAGGCCTGTTTGAGATAACGTTCTAAATATTTATTTATAATAATTTTCAATGAGGATAATTTAATTAGATATTCGATAATTACTTCATTAAAGCAGTTTAAAAAACGCGTTTAAAAAAAGAGATTCTCCTGACCTTGGTTATCTGGTCTGTGGGGTTACCGTTATATACCCTCGACAGGATTAAAATTTAGCTTAATTTCTCGCTTGTTTTTGGCGACAACGGTATTTTTTTTTAATAATATCAAGTGACACACACAGTGCACTTGATGGTAAGCGACCCGCCTATCCATAACAGTTGCAGTGCCACTCAGAACTTTAAATTACAAAGTGTCAGTTTGTAAATATACGACGGGAGGTCCAATAGTCCGCGGAATGGAGGGGGCGGGAGCCCGCTAATTACGCTTGCTTGATGTGGTACTAATCAGATACTCATTAGGGGTATATATATCAAGCTTCACCCTTTTAACTTCATTAGTTTACAAGATATCGCCCTACAAACAAGTAAATCCGGAAGAAAACTGCAAATATGGAGCAAATCGGGTTTCGTGCTGTCATCAAATTCCTTACCAAGCAAGGAAAACCTCCTCAAACCATTATGAATGAGATGGAAACTGTTTATGGGGATCAGTGCCCTGGTAAAACAATGATTTACAAGTGTCACGGTCTTTTCAAACATGGCAGAGAATCAATTGAAGACGATCCTCGCCCAGGACGGCCAGTTGAGGCCACCACATCAGACAATGTTGAAAAAATCGAAAAATTTATATTGGAAGATGCCCGTCTGAAGAAGAAACAGCTGTCTGCATTAGTAGGAGTATCAGACACTACCATTTTGAGGATCCTACACGATCATCTTGGCATGACGAAAGTCAGTGCACCCATCTGGTGCCGAGAATGCTCACGCCGCCTCAAAAGCAACAAAGAATCGATGCATCAAAGCACTTCTTGGAGCTGTGTGGCGCAGAACCTACCCCAATTTTGGAGCAAATTGTTACTGGAAATGAAACTTGGGTTCATCACTTTGAGCCCGAGTCCAGACAGGAGTCAATGCAATGGCATAAAAAGGGCACACCACCCCCTAAGAAGTTTAAGGTGTCGGAATCGGCTGGAAAAATCATGGCTACGGTTTTTTGGGATTGTGAAGGAATTTTATCGGCTCATTTTGAGAGCAAAGAGAAAAAAAATTTTTTCGATGGCATAGAAAAGCTGATTTCGAGATCTAAAAAATGTATTGAGCTCAAAAGAAAAGGAAAAATAGCCTTATTGTTTTATATTATTTACAACCCCTCCATTCCGCGGACTTTTGGACCTCCCCTCGTAGCTTGCTAACACTTCCACATAGAAGCCAGAAACTAAAAAAGAAACACTTACATTACTTACAGAAATACTTCATGGACTTCTCACAGATGGCGCTACGGCAAAAAGGCTAAAAGTCGTTAAAAACCAAAAACAAAGATCCGACAACAAGCACAGAGAAATTCGTGATGTTCGCTGATTCGTTCCGTAGCTTAGTTGACATAACGTCTGGCACGGTTTGCTAGGAGACGTCGGTTCAACGGATTTGAACCGACGTCTCCTAGCCGGATCGAAGGAATTTTTTCTAAGTGTTC